CCGAGGTTCTGCACCTAGTTCATGTCATTCCATCCTCTGGTCATGAGGAAATCCAGAGAACGAAAGAACATCTTAAGCAACAGTTCTACTGGTGGTGTATGGCCAAGGACTTTGAGTAATATGTCAGAACTTGCGATGTATGCGCTAGAAACAAACGGGGTTCACTGCAAACAGATCCAAACTTAAGAGATATCAAGCCGGAAGCCAGATGGAGGGAGTACATTTGGACATTCTTGGGCTGCTACCACGAACTGATAGTGGAAACGAATATATCCTAATGATGGTAGACAATTTTACCAAGTGGGTAGAATGTAACCTGCTTTAATCAGTAAAGCACAAGTCACCCGAACGATCTAAGACCAGATAATATTGTGTTTATTTAAGGTCGAATCCTAAGGGAATAATTGTGCAGTGTGACAGCTGCCGGAACTGGTTTCATCCTGGGTTTGTGGATATTACCCTAACAAAAAATACTATAGTTAACTTTAGTTTACTATAGTAAACTTAAGTACCAGATTAATAAACTTTGTAACTTTGATTTATTATTAGTAAAAACTTTGTAACTTTGAATTACTATGGTTAAAACTCTTAAACTTTGAATTACAATAATTAAAACCTGAGAACTTTGATTTACATTGGTGAAAACTTTGGAACTTTGATTTACTTTAGTGAAAACTTAGAAACTTTGATTTACTATGGTGAAAACTTTCAAATTGGAACTTTGATTTACTACGGTGAAAACGTTAAAACTTTGATTTACTATGGTGAAAAACTTTTTAACTTTGATTAACTATAGTGAAAACTTTCAAACATTGATTAAGTACTATAAAACCTGTGGAATTATGTATTTTCTTCCCCTTCTGTATATTTTATGAAAATTTCAAGGTTAAGATACATGTACATTAAAGTATTAGAGAACCTTTTAAAAACCCGACCTGTCTCATCAAGGAATATTTATAATGTACAGTTCAAGAAATGAAATTTGTTGTAAAAATTGTCTCTTGCACTAAGAAATAAGCAGTGTTTTTTTTAAAATTTGTTTACTTTAATGTTGTATAGATAAAACATAAGTCTTATATATGGAGAAAAATATACTATAAGATAAACATTGCGTCAATAATTAGAATCAAAGTATTTGCTTCATTAACTTCAGTCAACAATTTTTTCTACTGAAAAAAGTAATTATTGGATTAAAATAAACTACTTTGAATGTTTAATCAGGATCATACTAAGTCAGTACCACTGTATATCTGCCCCGAATGAAGTCCCATCAGTGTCGGTCTCGACCAGATTGGGGAATGAAGTTCCCGAGGGGATTGGGGGCTGTGAGGTGCTACTTTCTAGCTGAATTGTACATATTTGTTCTTCTGCTAGGAAGCAGGTCATTTTACTTTACATTATAGTTTGTCTCATTGTAAGGGGCAGGGACGCCCTTTTTCAAAATATGGAAGAATGCGGTTGTCCTGGGGCACTGGACACGGATTGTCCTGCTTCCTCCGATCACAATGTATACGTCGCAGCACCTGGTGTGACGTGTACATATCCTCTTTTTCTTTTCCGTTACATGCAGCAGAGTAGGGAAGTGTGTTTTTCAGTTTCGTTATTGTTACATATATAGTATAATGCAGACACTAATGAATATCTTGTTAATTAGCCATAGTGTTTTCTCTGCGCAGGTAGGTTAAGTTACAACCAAATATTCTTCTTGCCTATATGATATGACGTCATAATAAGCTATATGACGTGAGATTTAGAGATAACAATTTCTTTAAATCGATATCTTAGATTGATTTAAGTCGAACAATGAACCAAAATATGCAGAGGAATAATATCAACGGAATTTTGTCGTTCCTGGGCCTCTGTAGTTATCACAGGCGTAACATACCAAACCCGTGACGTCATAACTGTTGATCATGCAGTAGCAGAGTGAAAGTGAAAAGAAACGAGAATTGATGTAAACAAACACAAGAAATCGGATTTTAAAAGCAAAGCATTTAGAATGAATATCATGTGTGATTCTTGTGGGAATAAAGCGTATGAATAAGGCATGGTAATATAATTCTGCAATTTCTTCGTAAAATTAAAGCAGGGAGGGTGTTTACTTGTCGATCTGCCTTTCCTCTGTCGTTTGTAACAAAAAAGATTCAAAAGTTTAACACTACGCCGCATACCTTGAAACTTAATTTTTGTTTCTATCTAAAGTTCTTATTCTTTTGTTTTTGGAAAGTGCTGCTAGAATCGTATAGTTTATGGGAATTTATTTTTTTTCGATGTTATAAACAAAATGTAAATATTTTGGGAAGGTTTCGTGCGAAATTGTTAAATAATTATTTCTTTAAGAGAACAGTAGGATTCTAGCAGCACTTTTCATGGTACAGAGATGTTTTTACATAATTATTAATATAAATTGTAACTTATTATCCCCGGGGTAGTGTTAAACTTTTCACTTTTCATTAAAACATATTTTCAAATTATAGACGTCACGTGGTGACGTTGCAGTGAAATGCTTCCTGTAGTATAAGTCCGATTGAAGTCTAAAGAATGCATAATGATTTCAAAAGTTATATCCTTGACTTTTCCTATTTATTAGTGTTACATAATTATAAAAAGTGTTAATTCGCCGAATTCTGATCCATGTGCTGCCTTAACAATCCAGCGTGTTCCATTATCACTAGGGTAAATAAGCTTCTATAGAGAAATACTGTAAGTGCTTTTAAAAAAAAATATTGGTATACATATTTTTTAATTACCTCATAGATAATTTAGTTAGCATGTATGAACTTGAAATTGTGCAATTAATTATACAATTAAATTACATGTATTTAAAATTTGCAGTCACTGTCAATTGTCAAAACAAGTACCCATTATTTTGTTTTGCAGAAAACACACTTGTAATATTGTGCCAGATATCAACAATCTTGATTCACTATAAATTTTCCCTGATTTACCACTACATTTTTAGAATGAAGCCAAGGCCCTTAAGAAATTTTATAACATGAATTTTTTTCAAAAAATGAACACTCATCATGAAGAAAACTTCTTATCTAATTTTTCTTAACTGTACATCAGAGAAAAGACGAAGTTTGTCTATAAAATAAAGTTTTAGCCAAGTTCTCAAAATATTGTTTATTTCATTTAGATTTCAAAGCCAAAGCAGAGCTTTGATCAGGCTATCATTAAAGATATTTTGTTTGGTGTACTCCAACATTTTTCAAGGTGGGTACATGCAGGTTAGTTGGATTTATTTTATTTTGCTCTAATGAATTTGGCAAAATGATACCCGTCATATACGAGGGTTGTCCGTGAAGTTCGTGGACAACATTGATAATAACTGACAAACATTGATAAAATATATGAAATTATATTTTTCATTAAATTCAGGTTTCATTTTATTAACAAGCAAGTTTTCAACAAAAACAAAGCACAAATAGTTACGTTTTTATCAGATTAAAAAAAGACTCACACTCATACCCGGAGCACTAAACTGAAAATTCTTGACGTTACCAGACGTCAAAGGCATAATACAAGTACATGTAACTTTTCTCAATATAGTCACTGTTTAACTCAGTACATTTCTCATGTCGCTTTAACCAGTCATAAATATGTGCACAAAATGTTCAGGTTTCATATGTAAAATAATATTTAACAATGCTTGTCTTATATCCTGCAATCCTCCAACCTCTGTCCGCATAAAACGATTTTATTTACGGAAATACGGTAAAGTAACGTTACGCAATTAATTCTTACAGCACTCCAATCTCGGTATGATGGTTTTCGTTCACGCATGTCATCCTGTTAACTGTGTCCTTTCGTCCGAAAATATCATATGCCACTTAAATACTAATGTACGGCTTTTATTACTATGTTTTCCCGATTGTATACAAAATGTATTGGTCTCTGTAGGTGTTTATCCGGTGTCTACGCAGAATTTGATTACTGCTCACTGCTCCACCTATTCTGAAAACGTCCCTTTTTTAAACAATTCCGATCCGTCTTAATAAGTTCTAACTTTCATTGCTCAGCCATTTTACAACTTTGAATGTTCAAATTTTGCAGGTTTAAAGTAATACCTTCTGTCAACCTCACAATGTAAAAGTCATCCAGAATTCTGAAGAATTTTATGAAATACAAATGAAATTTATAAAGTGATGAGTAATTTTTTATTTAAAATTTTGCAGTGCGCCGGGACTCCACACCAAGTCTAATTATGAAGTCATAATTGTAATTAAACATTTGAAATTGAATCAGATTTTACATTTCTAGGTTCCCATTTAGTAAAGGATTAGAAATATGCTAATAATAAATATGTATGACACAATTTTTATTTAATTCTTAGCTTGTCCACGAACTTTACTGACAGCCCTCGTAAATCACTATGGAACCTGAAACTTTGTCTTTAAAAAAATTGAAAGTCTTACAAGCACTTCTTTCCCTTAAACATGTTCAATTGAAGTAAAAAATATGGCAGCATTATAGCCAACTTGTTTCAGAGAGAAAGAGTAAAAAAAAAAACTTTTTGAAATTGATAAATGAAATGAATTTCAAAAATATGGAAACAAGTTCAACACCTGTTGAAAATTTCCTCAAAACAACTAACTCAACCGGGAAGTTTTGATGTACCACTCACCGACATGATCAAATATTACATATTTCCGGTAAAACACAATTTGAAGTGTAAATCTGGGAGAAAATACAATTACATAATCTCACCAGCCAGTTATCTTGGACAAAGTTTTCGACTACGCCATCGTTTTCAAATTCTCAAATTTGTTTAACCAAGCGATGATTACACGGGATGAACAATGTTTCTACCTTGTCTGCTCTGTATTACTCTGGCATCATTTTGGGTTAGCTATTAATTGCAAGGGGTAAGTATATTTTCAACATTATATTATAAATAGAAATGTTTTCTTCAATTGCAAAAAAAAATTGACAACGAAAAAAAAAAACTGCAGTTAACAAATCTGTTGCATTTATTTTAACATTTTCATATAGTTCAGGGAATAGGGTTTGCTGCGCTGGGACGATATGGAGTGAAGAAAGAAAAATGTGCATTGGTAATAGTATGCCTAATATCTAAAGATATTTAATTGCTAGTCATTTTTCTTAGAATATTAGAAAGCTACATGTACTTAAAAATTTAGCAGATACAATATCAATCCACAATCCTATCTAAAATCTTATTTTACCTCTGTTATCAGGTAGTTATATAAGAGAAAACAAACTTAAGAATCGCAAAGAGAGTTCGAGAGGAACAGGAAAAATTAACTTACTTGATATATACAACGCGGATATGTTAAGGCTATTGTCCTCTACCAAAACAAAATGAATTTTTCAATTAAAATTTGTGTTTGACAATAAAATTAATTGAAAAAAAAATCTTATTTTTGTAGAGGACACTTTAACCAAACATTCTACTTGCCTATACAATATGACGTCATAGTTAGTTAAATGACTTATGTAAACTTAGATATAGTGATTTCCTTAGATCTATATTTAAATATTGATTTGAGGTCATAGAAATGATTTAAACCATGTTCTGCTAGAGTTGTATAGTTATAGGGAATTATTTTTTTCCCAATCATTTGTGTAAAATGTAGAAAAAAATGTAGGGTTTCATCCAAAAGTGTAAATTAACATATTTTTTATGTGATAGGAGAATAGGATTGTAGTGACGCTTCATGGTAAAGAGATGCTATTACATAACTACATGTATTATCAAAAATAGAAATTACTTATCCCCGAAATAGTGTTGAACTTTTCACTTTTTTATCAAGACACACTTTCCTATTTATAGACATTACATGATGTCAGGACGTAGTGCATCCTGAAAGGTTTGCACATAGACGTCTAAAGAGTGGATAAAGATAGCAAAAATTTTATACATGGCTTTTCCGATTTACAGAGTAACATATAACAAAAAGTGTATATTCGCCGAATTCTGATTTGTGCGCTGCCTTAACATACCTGCGCAATTTTTCTTTTACTTAAAAAAATGCAATCAGTGTTTTTTTTCTTTTCATTAATGTACAAAAAGTTAAAATAATATATAAAACAGTGTGTATATATTTATACAGATATACTCTTTTACTTTTTACTGTTTTCATTCTGTTTGTATCGTTTTCTGGCCACTACGCTTAAAGCATGTCCAGTTGGGTTTAGTGGAATATACTGCAAAACACCATGCCCCTATCCATTATTCGGAGTATCATGTCAAAGGGAATGTAATTGTGAAAAAGAAATGTGCAACGTATTTGATGGATGTGTATTGGATAGAACTACAGACAACACCAGTAAGTATTTAAATTAAAATACCATTTGTTTGTCTTACATTTTTCTTCTCTTATTTACTACTCTTATTTCCATCTGAAATAAAATTTGCTTTAAAAAATTAACTGCAGGTTATCTGTATAATAGGACAGTAGAAAAGTAAGTGGTGGAGAATGTATAAAATAATAATTTTGAGAAAAAGTATTTTAAAAATATGCAATAAACTTTATTTAACATTTGAGAAAATAATGTACATTATCATCCTCATAAAATTGACAGGTCGTTACATCTGAAAAAAAAATTGATTTTTAATGGCATTTTTTATAAATTTCAATGTAAACGAATACAGTTTTTAACAAAATAGTAATGATCCGTCAAAAGCGTGTTACACATGTCGGTTTACAACACTCCAGTGCGAACAAACGAAGTCATTATATTGTTTATAATTAGTCTTTTTTAATGATCGTATAAGGTTGGATTAAAAACAAAAAAAAATGTATATTTTATCATCCTCTTCACATTGAATTACCAGCAGTTTTTATGCACTCTAGCACACGTGCACGGTGGGAGAAGGGAAATACTCACTGTACTCCGCCTAGGGGCATGGTTCCATCTCTGTTTCAGAGATCCTTGCAAGCTCTTCTAACAATATGTATTTTGAACAACAAACAAAAAAATAAACATTGATTTTTTAATCATCGTTATCGTCGTATTTCATATTTACATTGATTCATATTTTGTTGGAAAAAAATACACTGTATCAGATTTAAGTGTTCAGAAATAGTCTGGCAGAGTTACATGTAAATTGTATGAATGAAATTACTTTCCAATAATGAAATGAAAAGTTTTAGTAGATGTTTTGGTTTTCAAAATTATTAGAGGATATTGTTTCAGAGCATAGTTTCAGCATTTAAAGCAGTCTGTAAAACAATATAATTTGAAAAAAAGTATCTGTAAGCCTCGATCCTCTGCAACAAAAGTTCAGGACACTTCATACGCAATCTAATTAATAGATTACACATCTTTAGTGTTGCCTTCATGTCTTGTACATAATACGTTGAAACAGATTCTCGATTAAAAGTAGATGTAGTAAAACTGTTCATTGTCATCGATATTTCTACGTTCTTTTTAACAGCATTGATTACTAATGTTGATGGACCCATATTTCATCCTTTTTACTTACAGTGTACTTTAGATTCGTCAGTCCGATGGCTCATCGATGGGGTTGCATTTCATTTTGTTTTGAAATCATTATGGTTGTCGCAAAATTCCACTGAGTTTTTATGTATCCCAGTAATCACTATCTTTTAAACAAAATTTTATGAAAGTGTGTTTGATATGTAGCTGTTTTAAAATTATTACTTGAAAAATTTACCTATAAGTGGAATAGTTGAAAGCACTCACTGAAGGGACTCCGATGCTGGCTCAGCCAGGAAGGACAACTCTTTAATTTATAATTTTATTCAAACCATCCCAAAATAAAGCCTAAAAATTTAATCTTTTCATGCAACAATTTTCATTATATACCTCTTTATGTGCTTCAAGGTTTTTTGAAGATCTCAGAAAGGGTTAATAAAAAGTCGAAATTCTCACCCCGTAAAATCATTTTATAATTACATATATCAAGAAATTGATGTCCATTTTAATCTAACCATAGATACCAATGCTTATTAACATGATATAAAATTAAAAGAGCTTTATGGTGCTTCCTAAAGACAGGTAATCGAAGTAAATAAAAAAAATTAAAATACATTACGCAGCACAGACACACGGAGCCTAATTTGTAAGAGAAAACTTGACTATGGCATCATACACAATATACGTCATACAACATTTCTTTAAAATAACACAAAGTTGACCAGTAAGAAATCATTAAATTACATAAAAACTTACTACAACTTGATGTTTTGTCGTTAGTTAAATCCCACATAACAAGTTATAAACAAGTCACTGATTGCAATACACTTGTCAATATGACGTCATTTCTTACAACGTAACGTAGTTTGTATGCAGTGAGAGACAGATCAAGTAATATTTTCTTAACAGATTATGTATTCTCTAATTAAATAAAATATCATTTGCAGATATTCTATGGGCCAATAACTTGAAGTTCATGTCTTCTTCACTATTTTATTATTATATTTTCTGTACATTGCGTATTTAATTGACACTGCTGTTTATTTGTATGCAAGTACATCGGAGGGTAATGTGGGGGGTCTTAATAAATCGATCTAGTGCAAGGGCATACACTCTATGGATCAGAGTAAGCTTTTACATTTCAACTCTAGAACTATTAAGGTATATGAAAAGTGCTGCGATCCTGATGAAATCCTAAAAACAATTTAATTATATCAATATTTCATGCCGCTGACATGCAAAAAATATAGCAGTTGGTCATACAAGTATAATTTTAACAATAAAATTGCAGAATTTAGACAGGATCGCAGCATTTTTTAGAAACTGCAATGTGTCTTGAAGATATTTATATAATAATTCAATTTTACTTGAAACACACCATTTGATTGGATAAAAGATTTTATCTATTTTGGATAACATAACTTGCCTACGTCACAATGAGTTAGGTCAACAAACGGATTGCTCCGCTTGACGTTACTTTTAAAATTAAATAATTGTGAAGCCTTATTCTCGGGAGAAAATTATCTCATTGTCTGCATTGAAATAAAACTATAAGGAATGAAGCTTATTTCAACTTATATTTATATAACAGTGTTGCATTATGCATGTACTATGCCTAAATAGTAGGCAGGGTTTGACACATGGTGCACGAGCCGGAGGCGAGTGCACTATGTGTTGCACCATGTGTCAAACCCTGCCTACTATTTAGGCATAGTACATGCATAATGCAACACTATTGTTATTATTATGCTGACTGTTGTTATTATTTGTGCGGCAATCCATTTGATTTTTTCCTGAAAATAATGGTGGTAACACAGCGCACTTGCAAAAACTCATTCAAAATCTTCATGCTAAAATTAGTTGCATGCTTAGTTATTTTGGTCACTAGTATTTTCTCTAAATAAGTCAGGATTTTCTGTCCCAAAGATACTCATCTTTATTTTCTGTTTTGTTAGTAAGACTGATTTGTTTACAGACGTGGATTCTAATTGATAATTTTCTTTTACATCCTTCAATCAAGCACTATATAAACAAGAGGCCCAGGGGCCACAGCGCTCACCTGAGCACATCGGGCTTGAATTAACCCCCTTCCCCTCCAGGCGTTCATCATTTGAACAAACTTGAATCTACACTACCTGAGGATGATTCCATATAAATATCACTAATCATAGCTTTGAAGTACTTGTAAGGAAGATTTTAAAAGGTTTCTCTATATATCCCTTTAGAGTAAAATTTAGGTCGGCCATTTTGGCCCCACCCTTGCCCTGGGGGTCATGATTTGAACAAACTTGAATCTACACTACCTTAGGATGATTCCACATGAGTTTTATCTTTCCTGGCTCAGTGGTTCTTAAGAAGAAGATTTTTAAAGATTTTTCTTATATATTCCTATGTAAAACTAGGGTGGACCATTTTGGCCCCAACCTTGCCCCAGGGCTCATGATTTGAACAAACTTGAATCTACACTACCTGGGGATGATTCCACATGAGTTTTATCTTTCCTGGCTCAGTGGTTCTTGAGAAGAAGATTTTTAAAGATTTTTCTTATATATTCCTATGTAAAACTAGGGTCGGCCATTTTGGCCCCAACCTTGCCCCAGGGCTCATGATTTGAACAAACTTGAATCTACACTACCTTAGGATGATTCCACATGAGTTTTATCTTTCCTGGCCCAGTGGTTCTTGAGAAGAAGATTTTTAAAGATTTTTCCTATATATTCCTATGTAAAACTAGGGTCGGCCATTTTGCCCACCCTTGCCCCGGGGGTCACGATTTGAACAAACTTGAATCTACACTACCTGTGGATGATTCCACATGAGTTTTATCTTTCCTGGCTCAGCGGTTCTTGAGAAGAAGATTTTTAAAGATTTTTCTTATATATTCCAATGTTAAACTTGGGTCGGCCATTTTGGCCCCACCCTTGCCCCAGGGCTCATGATTTGAACAAACTTGAATCTACACTATCCGAGGATGATTCTACATGAGTTTCATCTTTCCTGGCCCAGTGGTTCTTGAGAAGAAGATTTTTAAAGATTTTTCCTATATATTCCTATGTAAAACTTGGGTCGGCCATTTTGGCCCCAATTTTGCCCCGGGGGTCATGATTTGAACAAACTTGAATCTACACTATCCGAGGATGATTCCACATGAGTTTCATCTTTCCTGGCCCGGTGGTTCTGGAGTAGAAGATTTTTTAAAGATTTTCCCTATAAATTCCTATGTAAAACTAGGGTCGGCCATTTTGGCGCCACCCTTGCCCCGGGGGTCATGATTTGAACAAACTTGAATCTACACTATCCGAGGATGATTCCACATGAGTTTCATCTTTCCTGGCCCGGTGGTTCTGGAGTAGAAGATTTTTTAAAGATTTTCCCTATAAATTCCTATGTAAAACTAGGGTCGGCCATTTTGGCGCCACCCTTGCCCCGGGGGTCATGATTTGAACAAACTTGAATCTACACTACCTGAGAATGATTACACATGAGTTTCATTTTTCTTGGCCCAGTGGTTCTTGAGAAGAAGATTTTTTAAAGATTTTTCCTATATATTCCTATGTAAAACTTGAGTCGGCCATTTTGGCCCCAACCTTGCCCCGGGGGTCATGATTTGATCAAACTTGATTCTACACTACCTGAGGATGCTTTCACATGAGTTTCATCTTTCCTGGCCCAGCGGTTCTGGAGAAGAAGATTTTTGAAAAACGCCATTAATTTTTAATAAATTCATGATTATCTCCCCTTTTGAAAAGGGCGTGGCCCCTTCATTTGAACAAACTTGAATCCCCTTCACCCAAGGATACTTTGTGCCAAGTTTGGTTGAAATTGGCCCAGTGGTTCTTGAGAAGAAAAGATGAAAATGTGAAAAGTTAACAACGACAACGACGACAACGACGACAACGACAACAACAACGACAGACAACGGACAAATTTTGATCAATAAAGCTCACTTGAGCCTTCGGCTCAGGTGAGCTAAAAAGCGTTTTAATGACCCCATGATATCAATTCATCTAACGATCTGTATGTAATTAGAACTTTGTTGTACACATTTATGTAAGATTCCTTAGAATAAATATAACTGTTTTCAAATAATATTTATCTATTTTCTCCTTCTTGTGTCAATTGTATAAATAAGTTTATATATTTAATAAAATTCTCCCAATCAGTGATCGTCTCTGTGGCGTAATCGATAAGGCATCGGACTGGCAACCTCATGATCGTGAGTTCGATTCCTAGTGTGTGCATTGAAGAATTTTATTTAGAAAATAAGGCCGTGCACTATTTCGGCATAGTATGCTTACGCTATATAAATCCTTAGACCACTATGCGAGAATAGTAGGGTATGGGTTATATAGAGACAAACTGACAGGAAGCATAATAATATACTATATAACAAAACTTGGGGCAGTTTACGCTTTTTTATAAACCGCTTCAAGGTTTATAAAGCGTAAACTGCCCCAAGTTATGTTATATCGTATAATATAAGTTGAAATAAGCTTCATTCCTTAACTAAACTTGGAAAATGAACTTGGTTATGCCCTTGCACTAGTGATATTTATATGTAGCATCAATACTGCAAGTCAATGTGATAAAATCGCGTGACTGCCGAATCACGAGACTAGTCTAAATATAAGATATAATCGTCCTCGATATGTCGTTATTAATCATAACTACAATTATCCGATATAAATTATGTACTAAAAATAATCGCCATCTCGATTATGAATACATTTTTAAATACAAAATTTTCCAGATATTTCTATTGCGCACCTTAACTGTACTGCATATATGTATAAAATTGTGGAATTTCTTCAAAAACCTGTATACCTATGATTTTTATTTTTAGAATGTGTAAATTAATCAAATTTGAATTGGAAAATGTATAGCAAGTGCTTTTATTCTTAATTCCTAAAAATATATCTGAAATTTACTGATTTTCTCTACAAAATATGATTAACTTAAAAGGTGATGTTTGAAGAATCATTGTGGGTAAAAACACGTTACCTTGAAAATTCAGAGACATTTTTGTGAGCATTTTCAATTAGTCAATACTTGATTTTCAGAACCTGAGGATCGGAGTACCTTAAAAAGATCACACTCTCGAATTTATGAGAAACATTTCAAATATTCATTTAACTATTACATATATATTTTTTTGATAGACAAAACATTTTAATAATACAAAAACACAAAAAAATTAAGACATGCAATCCACTAATGATTCATAGAAATTTGGGATATCGGAGATGTCATTGTTTAGCTTTAAAGACGATACATCTGTCTTTTTTAAGTATTTTACTTTTTTGTTTCTTTTTCAAATAGACTGTTAAAGTCGTTCGAACTCACGAACTAGGAGATATTTTGGTGCGTCAAACAATTGTTGGAATATTCTCTTTGGGTGATCTCTAGTAGGAAGTACAATGTATCATATACCTAATGCGCCAGGTGTGTCATCAAATCATCATATTTTTTTAATAAAAGGTCACGTGTAAAATCAATACAATTACACACCTTTTCATTAATGAAAGTACAAGCCACAAAATTGGAATTAAGTAAGTTATTTATTGTATTTGATAAACAATGATCATGTGATGACTAAACACTCTGTTGATTGGTTGAACACAGTAAGGAAAAGGGTAAAACAGATCACAAAAAACTAGGTACCAAAGAGGCATTGTTATACAAAAACTTTATGAAAGGAAATTTCTTTTCGCATAATATTCGTGCGATTTTCATGTACACATCATATGATATTTACATGTACATACAAATATCATGAGTGGTCCTTTTCGCCTGCTTCCTATACGAAGAATATTCTTGTTTGCAAATAGAGATGACGTAGTGAAAATGCTACTCATTTAAAATTTTGCAAGAAGGATACTCAGCACAGTTGAGGTTACAGTAAGGAGGCGGGGCCTAATTTGTACAGCAAATGTTTACTTTGACGTCAAACGTAATATAAGGTTTTCAAAATATCACAAAATGAACTTATTTGCTATTTTAAACAGTTGGATATCTGTATAATATAACTATAATAGACTGTTTCATATGAAGTTCATGCGAGCTACTTTTGCCTGAGTATAACTTGTGGTTATTTTCATTCATGCTTCAAACGTAACAATTACATAATACACTGATAAAATAAATCATGCAAGATACAAAATGATGATACGAATGAAATTTATCTCTATTTAGGAAGTATCAACTCATCTTCTAGTTTTACTCAAAGCAAGAGAAACACAACCTATACATCAATAACGACAATGGAGATAGAGAACAACGCAAATAAAACAATAAATTGTATTGTATCGGCGAAAATGTGTCTACACAAATACAGCTCTCTTCATATACCTATTCTGATCTTTGGTGGAATTGCTTTTGCATTGATTATTACACACGTTCTTGTATGCTTTAAACAAAAAAGGAAACGCAATATTAATGGACACTGTCTACCAGTATGTATAAAAGCATAATGAAGATAATGAACTGTAGAACTTGCTTTTTTCGAAGTAAGTTGAAAAGACTATAGTACCATTATAAATGCATAAGGATTTTCGCAAAATTATTGCAGAGAACAAAACGCTTAGAAATATTGAATGCATATACATATACATCTTTATGAAGAGAGAGAGAGAGAGAGAGAGAGAGAGAGAGAGAGAGAGAGAGAGAGAGAGAGAGAGAGCATTTGTATTAAAACTCATTTGTAAATCAATGATTGAATACGATTTAAAAAGAAGATAATTCATTTGTTATACACCGATATATGTTTTTTTTAACTTATAAAGTTATTGTCATGTGTTTAATAAAAAAATTGATTTGATATATAGTTTTAAAACATTGAGAAGTATCAAAATGCTCGATTTATCTAAAGAAGTTTGCTTTATCGCACATTAAACACAATAAAGTGTACTAAGAATTCAATGATTTTCTTTGGTTTCTCATTTGTTGGTGATTATTTATTAATGCAGAGACTTGGGAAACCATGTCCTTCTCAACAAGTTAAATTTCAAATACAAACCCACTCAACATGTAGGTATAATAAGGCTTCCAAGAGAATATTGCAGTGTTCTCTGTGTATTCATTTTTCTTATCTACAAATGCATGACGTCATAATTGAAAATGACGTTAGGCCATTGCAAACTTGAGCTGTAATGATGAGGACAGTATCATAAACTTTACATCTTATTTCCATATGCATATAAAGAAAAATTATCTAATATATCCGAATTATTCTAATATACTTTTGACATAAACCCTTTTTTATACCCGTAGATAGAGACAGATATCAATTAATGACTTGGGATGAAAAAGTTTGCTTAATTCGATTGTTTATTTTTTCACATTTTACCGGGGCCCATAACTGCACTCGTTCTTTGTGTGTAAAGTTATAATTTCGACATACGGTTGGCATGATTTAATAAACAGTGAGCTTTATAATCCCTGTCATACAATATCATTAAAACTTTTTCTATTTATTAGGTAAAGCAGTTCATTTCCTATGTAAATATAATTGTAGAATTTGTAATATGCCATAGGATGTTTGTACTCAGCAATGAATAAATTACAATTATAATTAAAATAGCCAGTGCCAAACGTCGTTCGCCCGGTCCTGGAGAGGTAACGCAATCGCGTAATCAAAGAAATTTGAAACAGGAAAGCTCAACCGCAGAGGCAGAGGGATGTTGTCACAACTGACCTCAAGTTGTGCTGGATTCTTTAAATTAGAACTTACAAACCAAAATAAATAATATTTTGGAAGACCTCCTGTGTACCAAGAAACAACAAGATTTATAAAAAATTAACAATAAATTTATCTACATATGTACAATAAACATGAAAACGGCCAAAAGTTCAATCATGGTCGTCACTAGACAGATTCACACTTCACACCACGTCCATGGTCCACCATATTGTCCATGTTGTCCACCATAGTGTCCCGTCCGGTCCACCATATCCTAAGTAGCCTTACCACGTAAACAAATCCTCCCGTCCGAATAAAGCTAATATACAATTCTGGTCACCTACAATTTTCATAGGGTTTTCTAATCAAATATTCAAGACACATATCTGTTCAATATACTAGATTTTCCACACAAATAACAAAAGAAAACATGTATTTTTGCCGTTTAACAAGTAAATGAATTAGAGCGTAAATATATACATTCTCGCTACATTGCTAACAGTTTTACATAGAAAATTGCTCTTTAAAGCTAACAAGAAAAATATTGTAAAGTGTAAACACTTACTGAGCTGTGGCATTTTATACATAAAAACCATACTGTCGGCCCCCAGGTCTTGCTCTCAACGCCGCTACAAAACATCCCTGAATCCCAAGATCACACTGCAGGGGAAACAGCTAAAACACACCCAAGTTCACACAGCATGGGTTACAGAACACACCCAAGTTCACACAGCATGGGTAACATAAAAGGCACACCCAAGATCACTCAGCATGGGTAAAGTATAACTCACGGCGTCCAGACCTCATCTGACAAACACTAGCCAACACCCAGTAGTATAAATAACTGACCAAACTACTCAAACGGGTTCGACAAGTAAACGTTGATAAAAATAGCAACAAGTACAACCCAGTGACCAATAGTGCGTAAATGAAATAATCGATAACTCCTAATGCCCAAATAAAGATAACTCTTACCAATACCTGTACAATAAGCTAATATAAAACATTGACACAATACCACTTGTGACAGATGTGATAACAATTACATAGTGTAACATGCAAGGGAGGTCACTACTTGTGAACCCCCGCGGGCTCATACCCGTGATAGAAACGGATAGTTCTTAGATGTTGCAAATAAGTAAATGCACAGTCTTACTTACCTGCTGCTAGAAGATGCCAATTCCAGAGCAAGGATGACCACACACTCTGGCATGGACGACCCCACACTTATCACTAAATTAAGTTACAGTAAGCAGAGAAGTCCGCAACCATGCATGTACTCATGCAGAAGGTTTGTCAGATCAGTTTTACCTTTAGAACTTCTCAAGTATAATCGAAAGTAAAAACCTATGTACCCCAAATCCTATATGAGATACTTAGTGATCATTCAATAACAGACTAATTAATATACTAAACAAGCTTACAATTATCAAACTTTTATCAATCCAGTTAAAGAAACATACAATGATTAAAAAATATCATTTTAATTCGGATTCAACATTATTTTTTTACTCTCTGAGTTCCCTTCATCTCATTCACCCTCCAAGTCCCATTCGCCAACTTCCACCTCATTATCTTATTATTATTGTCTCTGTGGGTCATCTTTCTGGAGTTTGAGTGGTTTACCCTCTTCTTAACTGGGTAAGTTTGTGCCTTACACTCACATCTTTCGATATCTTTCTGTTCTTCGATCGACACTGGGCATTTTAGTTTGTGCTGAATTGCTGCCTACTGTCTCTTTTTCTGTGTCTGCCGGTTTCTTTCTGGGTCCTCCATCGGTTTACACTAGGTCTTTTTATTGTCTGATGCCTCTTGTGGTTGGATTCAATATTTCTCTTCAAGTCCTTTTCTCTTAAAGTTGCATAGTCACATTCTGGATATTCAAAAGTCTTTCTTCTCTCAACTCCTGTGCGTACTGAACGTGTGTAGGTTTCATTCCTCTTCTGTACGAAACCTTTTCTTATAGATGCTACATCGATGCCCTGCTTTTTAACTTTCGTAATCTTTGTGATAACCATAAATTTTCCCTGATTTTCCACTCCAATTTGAGAATGGAGCCAAGGCCTTTGAGAAATTTTATTGCATGATGTTTTTCAAGAAATGAACACTCATCATGAAGAAAACTTATTATCTAATTATTCTTTACTGTACATCAGAGAATAGAAGTTTGGCTATAAAATAAAGTTTTAGCCAAATTCTCAAAATATCGTTTATTTCATTCAGATTCCAAAGCCAAAGCAGGGCTTTGATCAGGCTATCATTAAACATATTTTGTTTGATATACTCCGACCAACATTTTTCACGGTGTGTATATTTAGGTTGGTTGGATTTTTTTTAATTTTGCTTTACTGAATTTGGCAAAATGCTACCCGTCATATAAATCACTATGGAAACTGAAAAAAAAACTTAAAAATTGAAAGTCTTTCAAGCACCTCTTTCCCTTAAACATGTGTTCTATTGAAGTCAAAAATATGGTAGCATTATAGCCAATTTGTTTCAGAGAGAGAGAGAAAAAAACTTTTTGAAAATGATTAATGAAATAATTTCAAAAATATGGAAACAAGTTCAACTCGTGTTGAAAATTTCCTCAAAACAACAAACTCAACCGGGAAGTATTGATATACCACTCACCGACATGATTAAATATTACATATTTCCGGTAAAATACAATTTGAAGTGTAAATCTGGAAGAAAATATAATTACATAAACTCACCAGCCAGTTATTTTGGACAAGGTTTTCGACTGCGCCATCGTTTTTAAATTACCAAGCGATGATCACACGGGATGAAAAATGTTTCTACCTTGTCTGCTCTGTATTACTCTGGCATCAATTTGGGTTAGCCATTAGTTGCAAGGGGTAAATATATTTTCAACATTATATTATAAATATCAATGTTTTCTTCAATTGCAGAAAATAAATTTGCCAACGAAAAGAAAATTGCAGTGAACAAATCTGTTGCATTTATTTTAGCATTTTCATATAGTTTAGGGAATAGGGTTTGCTGCACTGGGACGATATGGAGTGAAGAAAGAAAAATGTGCATTGGTAATAGTATGCCTAATATCTAAAGATATTTAATTGCTAGTTAATTTTTTTTAGAATATAAGAAAGCCACATGTACTTAAAAAATTAGTAGATACAATATCAATCCACAATCCTATCTAGAATCTTATTTTAGCACTGTTATCAGGTAGTTATAAAAGAGAAAACAAACTTAAGAATCGCAAAGAGAGTTCGAGAGGAACATGAAAAATGAACTTACTTAATATATACAACGCAGATATGTTAAGGCTATTGTCTTTTACCAAAACAAAATGAATTTTTCAATTAAAATTTGTATATGACAATAAAATTTAATTGAAAACTTTCAAATTTTTGTAGAGGACACTATAACCAAAAATTCTACTTGCGTACACAATATGACGTCATAGTTAGTTATATGACTGGTGTAAACTTAGATATAATGATTTCCTTCAATCTATATTTAAATATATACATTTGTTGTATCTCTCCATTATATAAACATACAGAGGGAAAAAATATCTTCAATTCTGTATGAAGTTTTTCAGAGGTCAGAGGTCAATACGTGACCTAATCACACGGCGCAATAATATCTACCGGTACATAAATTATAAAATGACCTGCTCTGCTTGCTTTTCATGTATAAAAATGAACAAAATAATCAAGTAAAATGATCATTATTTTATTCAAAATGTAAACAAGTATTTCATAC